TTTTTGGAACATTCCTGGTGTGTAAAAAATTTCTCAAATAAAAAAAACCCCCTGGGGGGAAAATCCAAACCAAATTTTAATGAAATAAAAAAATTTTTAAAAATTTTTTTTGAAAATAGAAAAGAAAATTAATAATTTAAGGGAAGCATCCTATTGTAATTCTTTTCAAATCATACCGGGGGGGTTGGGAAATCTAAAAATTTTGATAAAATTTTTAAAAATTTTTTTAAAAATATTAAAATACCAAAGTGATTTCATGGGATTATTTTGGGTTTTTTTAAATTAAATAATTTCCTCTTTTAACATGTGGTAGGAAGGCCCATGGGTCTTTGTTTATTTTTACACACCTTATTTTTTAATAAGCCATATTAGTGCAATGCTTGCTTTGTCAGTTATTTGTCATTGCAGTTATTTGTCGTTATTTGTTACAAAGTTTTCAAGTGTTAGTAACAAAATTTGGGGTTGTAATGCCAACTTGATGCAAGGGTATAGCCCACATCTTGATGCCCACTTATTTTTTTTTTTACTTTGATAGGAAGCATACTGCATCTTTCCATCATATTGCTTCATACAACATATACATGTATTTTGGTAGTTTTTATATAAGACATAAATCTGTGCAATACAGTGTGTAGTTTTGATACACTATATAATAATGTCCCTTTTCTTTTAGATACAAAAATATAATCCGTATTTGATTTTAATTGCTTAAACAAAAGTATGTGGTTATTATAATATACATGTAAAATGATTTTTTTTAGAACAATAATTTCATGATTATTAATTTTAAATGATGTTTTTTAATTTTACACTAAAATAAAATTTTAAAATACCCAAATAGAATGTTTTGTTATAGTTAAACATTTTATAGGTTCATAGGTGGCATGAGTTAAACAGTGTTATTGTGAGGTTGTCAAGATTTGAAAGAACCAAGGTTTCTTAGGTTTCCCTTGTTTTTAACTGGATTAATTTTTCCCTCTCCAAACCAAGTTTTTTCCTTCTCACTCTCCAATAGTCATTTAAACCTCATAAGGTCATAAGCAAAATTTCACTTCTATAAAATTATTTTGTAAAGAAAATAAAATATGCCCCCTTTTTTTTCAATAAAATGCCACTTCAAAGGTTAATTACTACAGGAAATTTGTAAAAAAACAATTTGAAATTTATTTAAGGGAAAATGTCTTTTTTTAAATTTAAAATTTTAAAATTTATTGATTATGAATTTACCTTTGGGGTTTTTGTGTTTTACAAAAATGAAAACTAAATATTTAAAATTGGGTTTTATTTTGTTTAAAAAAAAAAAAGCATGGAAAACATTTGAGCATTGTAAAAAAAATAGGGCAACAAAACAAGTTGTTTTTTCAAAGTTTGCCCAAAAATTAAAATTTTCATTTTTTAAATTTTTTCAAATTTAAATTTTTTCTAACTCTGAAATTTAAATTAAATTTGCCATCTTTAAAATTAAAAAAAAATATCCCTCTCAAGAAAGGCAAAACATTTTTATTGGCAATTTTTTTACCCCGCAACACACTATTTTAGTTTACAGTTTTACCCAGAGGCTCGTGAGAACCATAACTAAATGATATTCAGGAATAATTATTTTTTGGGAAAAATTTTAAAAATTTTTTCAAAAGATAAACTTTTTAAAGGAGTAGATAGATTTTAAAACCTCCCCCCCAAAAAAAAAGAATCAAATTTTTTGTACTTTAACATGATAATTTCTAGTAAAAATTATACGGTGGCATGGGGATAAATTTCAAAGTAAATTTTTCCTATTTTTGAGAACCACTCCGGGAGCCCGTAGTGATCCTTGAAATGGAGACTATAAAAACTTTCACAGAGTAATAATTTTTATATATTTGTATGGCAAACAAAAAAAAAATGGTGAACCTTCCATACGAACCCTTCCGTAAATACTGTGATATGGTTTAAGAAAAAAGAAAAAAAGTTTTATGGGTGTATCCCCTTATATACATTTTTTCAAATTTGATGGGCCCTTAATACATTTTTAAAAAAAAATACCTTTCAGCCAAATTTATAACTTTGATAACTACTAAAACAATTCTGAAAATAATTTATTTTTTTTTTTTACATTCAGTATTTTAAAATTTCTGAAAAAACAATGGTTACAAAATTTCAAAATGAGTTTCCCTCTTACATACAAAACATCCAAAGTAAAAAAAAAAAACAAAATATATTTATATAAATGTTCTTACTCTCCATAAAAAATATGTTATTTTCAAAAATATTTCCCTTCTTTTTTCAAGATTCAAATAAATTTTTACATATTAAAAATTAAATTTTATAAATATGATAAGTATATTTGTAGAAAGTTACATTACAATTATAGTTTTGCAATTTTTATTGAATACTTTATTGTTTTGCAAGATTTCGTGCCTTTTAAAATTATTTTCCCCTACAACAAAACCTGATTAAAGAGCACCTGTTAGTAAAGAAATCTTGGTTTATATGGGGAATTTTTTTTGGGCCCGTTCCCTAGTTTTTATTTTCTTATAAAATTTAAAGATAAAAAAAATTTGAAGTCCCCGTTATACTCTTTTTAATCCAGTTTTTTCTTGTACATGCATGTACATAAAATAATATAAAAATCATTTTTTAAGCAGCAATGTAAAAGTCATGGCACCTAATGTTTTATAGCAGTACAGGTATATTTTAAAGTTCCCCCCAATAAAGTTGTGTGGTGTGCTAATATGAATCCTAATGACACTTTTTATCACAAACACAATGCCCCTTTTTTTTTGTGTTTATTACTGTGTCTAATACAAAACCGAGGTAAAGATGAAATTTTACACATATTTTTGTTTTTTTAATTGTGGAATTCCCCGGTAATCTGTAAAATTACTTATTTTTGTAGGGGGGTTTTTTTTTTGGTATGAGGAAAAAATTTTTGGGTTTGGGTGAGATTTGAGGGTTAGGTAGTGTGAGTTGTTCTCTTTTGAAATTCTTCATTTCATGGAGTAAAAAAAAAAAAAAGGGGCTTTCATCCTCAACCCCCTAAAAATTAGTGCAACACAATACCTGAATTCCAAAATAAAAAAAAAAAAAATTACGTATAAAATTTAAAATTTGCAATTCATTTGAAAAAATTTCATTTTTCATTTTCACACCTTTATCATGATAAAAAACTAATATTTTTTTCCCGGTAACCCTAATTTTTTTGTCTGTACAATTTAAAAAGAAGTTAAAATTATTTTCAAACATAGAAACAAAATTAAAAAATTTTTCTTTAAAATAAAATTCCATTTCAAAGTTTTCCTGTTACATGGCTTTAAAAAATTAATCTCTTAACACACAACCGGGGAAAAAAACTGATAAAATAACTTTGCAATATTTTTTTTAAAAAAAAATAACTAAATATTATATAATTTTGAAATTCATAAAATTATGTAGAAAACTCACATAATCAAAAAAAAGAATGTAAATAAATATATAAAAAAAAAAGGAAATATTCTAGTAATGCTGTAAATATAATAAACATCAAATTAAAAAAACTTCCCATTGCTTTTCTTCCAAAAATTTTTGATATGTACATGGAAAGGGAAAGTTAAACCCAAAACCCATTTTAGGGTAACAAATCACAATTAAGGGCTTTTTATTTAAAATCAATATTCAAATCATTTATAACAATGTCTCATTTTTATTTGGGTTTTGACGGGACTGTTTAAAATTTTATGGGAACTTGCTCAAAAAGAGAAAAGTAAAATATATATCAAAAGATATCAAGAATCAATTTAAAAATGACAATCTTGATTGATGGTTTTTTAAAAGGGAAAAAAAGGGGAGCTTCTGTTTCAGGATAATAGCTTATATTTACAACCCTTTCTTAAAAATGAGTTGTCTGGGGTTCATCCTCCTGGTGATGGCCTATAAAAATTAAAAAAAAAAAAATTGGTATTTTCTTCTTTTCATTAAATTCAAAAACCAATTTTCAAATATCATTTTATAAAGAAGGAAAAAAACTGTTATATAAAAAGTTTGGCTGATGGTCTTGAGTTGGCTGTAAATTTTCCCGACTGTTGGCTGGTGAAGATAAAAAAACAAGACTCCATTAAACGAATTGAAGTTTGAAAGAAAATTTTTAAATAAAAAAAAATTTTTCAAGACTGGATAAGTGAAGCCTTGTTTTTAAAAATAGAACTAAAAAAAAACTTCAAGAAACCCAAGGGTAAGAAATTGAGGGTAAAATACCTAAAGAAATTTTGGGACTCCAAATATCTTTTGGAAAAAATTTGGGATACATGTACTAAAATAATTATGTAAAATTTAAAACTAACCAACTAATTTATTTTAATAAATTTTGTAACTTTGTTTAAAACAGCAAAATGAACTTGTCTGAAGTTTTTTACTTTGTACCCCCTGTCCCCCAAACTTCATTTCACCTAGGGTTTTTTAATATTTTTTTTTTTTTCTTCTTTTAAATTTTTTACCTACTAGGGAATTCTTAGTCCTGAGATAAAACACATTAGTGTATGCAACAAAAGGGGCCCCCGAAAAAGGGGGGGAAAAAAAAAGTTTTGTTTTTTTGGGGTTTTTTTTTTTAAAAAAATTTGTTTTTTTACAAACTTTTTTTTTAAAACATTTTTTTTTTTTTCAATTTTTTCCCGGGCCCCAAAAATTATGGGGGGGGCAAAAGCTAATCCCTTTTTTTTTTTTTTTAAAAAATTTCATACTGATCAATTATTAATGTTTGATGTGTCCATTTTATACATGTATCTATTACAAGTTCAGTCAAACATGGGTATCTCATAACTAATATCTCAAATACCATAGACATGTCAAAGTGATTTGGAAATCCAAACCTCTTATTCTTTAGGTATTTTACCATGGATATCTTGAATCCTCGGATATCTCACAGTTTTTTCTTGGTCTCAACAAGTTAATGATTACAAGGTTGGACTGTATAATATATTTACATGCCTAATGTCTAAATTAAATCACTCAAACATCACAATCTTTGTTTAAGTCCTTTAGTCACTTACAATTTTCTGATACATGATTTAGGAGGCATGAGGTAAAACTCATTTTCTTCCTCAGGAAAACTGTATCCCAAGCTGGCAATTTCTAGAAGCAGCACCCCAAATGTCCATCTGAAACAAGACAGCAAATTCATGTATACAAGTTTTTATGAAGTTCATAGTATTTTACTCAGTTTTGCTACTGTACAAAACATATATTTACTTCAATGCATTATAACATTATGCTTATACTGGAAATCACTCTTATATTTATTTAGGCAATTAGACAGACTCACATTTCAGACTCATTTGAATAAATTTTTCTTCTTTTAGATTCCACTGCCAGCCAGGGGTAGTATTTCCTGGGAATCTGTAGAAATAGAAACAATTTAAAAAACATATTACCGGTAAAATGTAACAATTTGCACAATGCATCCGAAATTTAAAATCATACAAAATATAAAACACATTCAAAACAATGAAAATGCCCAAACTTTGACCACTGAAAAGGAAAAATCTCTTACGGGTTCTGGTTGAGATTCTAAGGTAGAATTAATGGCAAAATTAAAGTTGGCAAGCTTGGCCCTTCCATGGGAAAAAAGGTAAATGTTCATAGGAATTACAAGTCTGTGGATTATCTGAAGAAAACAAATTAAATCATCAAATCAAAATTAAATTGAATTATGGGATCCAATCAAGAGAAAATCTTTAACAAGTCCTCATTATATCAAAATGATTTTTATTTGCAGGTACATGAACCAAAATTATCATCTGTTACTTTAAACAGAGATATAATGTATTCCTCAAACTCCATACCATTTTTTCTTTCAAGAAAATGACTGCTGATAAAACATCTGATGCATATGACATGAGTTCTGAGGCTTGGAGTTTAAAGGTAACATCTGGTGGATTGTCACTACTGTATCGGAGTTGTTTCAGATGCTGCTTCAGGTCGCCTTGATCACAGCTCTCAAAGACACTGTATTCACACCCTGCAACAAACCACAAGGTTCACATTTTTTAAAGTGCAAGTCCAATTTTGACATCACTGTTGATGTTTTACACTTAAGGAAAATTTCATTATCATGCAAGTTATATGTACATATATATATACTCATTTAATTTTCTTACTTTCATCTTCACAGTGCCCAAATAAAGTGAAAATGTTGGGATGCTCATCTGATAAAGATGTCAAGATTTCTAGTTCATTATGAAATGTTCTCATCTGGTTTTTATTCCTCTCTGGAAAAAAAAATTACAAAATAAAGACAACAGACAAATGATGAGAAGTAAGTAAGATAATAAAACTATGAACATGGAACTATATAAAATGTTTTAAAATACATGTATTACTGTAAAATTACATATTTTCATGGAGTCAAAATTTCGAGGTTTGAGGACAAAATATTGGTTTGAGAGGACTTTATTTTGTGCTTGGAGAATGTTTTGAAGTAATGTATATGAAATTTAAAATTTTCTAGGTGGTCATAAATTTGTGGATCTCTCCATGCCTCAACAAAGGACATTAAACCCCCATGAAAATTTGTGATTCCACAGTAAGTTGCCTTGTTTTCTTACCTTTGTGAAGACATTTAACCAGCACACTGTGACTCCTGTATTTCCCTGTATTCAGAGAAATATCTAAGGGCATTTGTTGGAATGTTGCTTCAGAGTAAATCTGTAAAGATTCAGTGTCCAGGACAAAACTTCTCCGACCGTCATCCTGTGGAAATCCTCTGTCTGCATTTCTTATGGCAGTGCCTGTGCTTTCCATTTGGAATCCATAAGTCTGTGAAAGAACAAAAAAAAAATAATCATGCAGTAGATAACCCATAATGCTTAATCTCTTCAACAGATGGACAGACAGTTAGACAGGCATGGTGATTCCAAAATACCCCCCCCCCCCCAAAAAAAAAAAACAACTTCCATTTGAGGGGTAAAAATAAACATTAACATTTATTCCAGACTATAAATCATGATACTAATGTAAAGCTACTGTTTACAATAGCTAATGTAATTCTGAGTATATAATTAAACAATAAAATTCCTCCTCTGTTTGCTTACGATATATGATTGTTAGTAGGTTATGTAAATATTTTTTTTGGGGATTGCACTGTTTATTCCAAATCAAAAAAAA